TATATATATATATGCTTACATACTTATATTTATATTCATACCTACCCTACTCGTCACCCCACCCGTAACTACCCATGAACCTTCAAGCACGCTTTAGTCACTGTCATGCAGGGGTTTTGATGGTTAGAATAATTGGGGGGGGGGGGGGGGGCATTTAAGGGTTGTGACAAGGGTTCCGATAGGAGCTTGGTATAGGGGCCTTGATGACTAGAGTAGGATTTGAGGGTATGTTATATTACTACAAGTATGTCCAGCCACCCTAAGAAATAGTGCTAGTCGGTATTGAGGCCCCTGCAGAACCTTTTTCCACATGGCACTGTTGGTGTGTGTTGGAGGTTAAGCTTGCTTTGGGTTGACGGGGTGATGCAAACGTTGTGACCTCTCGCTGCACACCAAGATGCTCTTACAGTGTTATCTCATGATGAATGCTACTGGAAACCGCAATTGACCTTATTGGTCTCAGTACTACGATAACCGCACAAACAACAACTACACCTAGTATCAGCACTGCTCCTACCTCTGTTGCTGCTGCCACAGCGACTGCTACTTCTACTGATTTCTGATGCTACTAGAGCCACAACCATACCCACATCCACTGCCACTGAAACTACGACTACCAGTACCAGTATCCGTAGCAAGCATCATCCGCTTCGCCGGGATGCTTGGACAGGACTAGAGAAAGGACATCGCACTCCTCTTGAAGACGGTAGGAGTTCGCAACGTTCGTCACAATAGCATCGAACTGCTCCAAGACCAAGTTCATCCATCCGCCTTGCTGGTGGGCGAATAGCAAAACTTCAGCCAAGAACATTAATTACATGTCACAGTGATCTTCAGAGACGGTCCATGGTCCACAAGGAAAAGACTGTAGAAAACGCTGAAGGTGTACGGTCGATTCTACGGAAAGGGGGCCAAAATATCACGGCAAGTCTCTCTCAGCAAATCCCATCACCGCAGCATTGAAAAGGAACATCTCGTTGAAGGTTGTGGGGACCTTCGTTGGCGGATGCATGCTGGAGCTGAGAGTATAATGTAGGTGGCCTTAGTCATTGGAATAGGGTTTCCGTGCATGTTATACTGCAAGAGTATTCGGGAATCCTCAGGAGTAGCACTACTATTTATTCAGGCTTCTATATCCTTCGACATCGGGTCTTTCATGGTCCGACGCACCGAATTTCATGATTCGACTCGCTATGAACCACATCAATTCACCCTACACCCTAAACCCTAAGACCCAAAACCATAAAGGTGCAGCCGGCCTTCATGTTGCTTCCCTTCAGCTTTCCCTGCGCTTCCATCGAGCTCCGGAGTGCCGACATCGTGGCATTGTTGCCTCGCACGAAGCTCAGAGCATCTGTGGAGATGGCATCATCTGGAGGCCTTAGTAATTAGAGTCATTAGAGTTTAGGGTTTAGGGCATCATCTAGAGGCCATAGTAAGTAGAATAGGAGTTTGGGGTATAGGTATAACAAGGAACTTCCAAAATAGTATTGGTAATTATTTCGGCCCCTGTATTGGACCCTTGCAGCAGCGCCGGTCTCCAGGAAGCTCGCCAACAAAACTCTATGCCATCTCATCAGCTGCATGTCTTGCCTGTGGCCGCATTGGCAGCCATACCGTTGTCGGCGACGTTGTCCGCACCTGGCAGTAAGGGCGACCGCTAGCAGAAGCAACAGGGCTTGGCGTCTACAAATTTGGAAAGCTTATCGCCTTGCTCTGGAAGGTGCACAACTCAAGAAGCGTAGTGAGCATGCCGAAAAGCAGGAAGGAGATAGATCTCACGGCAACACTGAAAACCAAAGGCGAATGCCCCGGCCTTTCGTCTCAGTCTTCGGTGCAGCTTGCTCATCTTTGTCCTTGTCGTGCTGGTGCTCAATCAGGCCTTCCTTCTGCTCGAACTCGTCTTCTTCAGTCTGTCGCAACTAAGGGTTGAGGGGTGGCGTCATGATGATGATGATGATGGTGATGATGGTGATGATGGGTGGTGGTGGTGCTGGTGATGAAGATTATGACCACGATTCGTTGCGTCGGAAGTCTTACTCATCATTGCCATGGACGGCAAGTGCTGTCAATTGTAATGCTACTACACCAACTACCACTACCACTACTACTGCGACACCGCCGCCGCCGACGACAACAACCACTGCGACATGACGACGACAAGGACAGCAACAGCGACGACGGCGATGGCTACTACCACTACTGCTAGTCGCTGCCTTCAAGATGGCTGATTGTTGCTGTAACTGTCAGACTGTACCAGCAGCAGCAGCGTCTCAGCAAGTCCATCCCACTGGCAATGGCAGGCTAGTCCTACCATGCTTGCTATTCTTGCTTTGTGCCTAGGGACGAGTCATACTGCGGCCATGACTTCTGACTTCTTGTAACAAGGGCATGGGGGCTTTTCGCAAGGAGCCTGCAGCATACCCACTTCTGTGAGCATATCTCTCTGCAGCGCCCTCTAACTTGGTCAGTGCATTTAAGCAAGCCGTTCATGGAACCCCCGGCCCAAAACCCAAGTAACAGCAGGAAAGAGCATGATCACAACTGTCTGGATGAGATGCTTGAAAACGAGGCCAGTGGCTGCGCCTTGTTATTGGCAGTCGCCCAGCTTCTCTGAATGGTTCTGATACGACCCGCGTACTCGCGGCCTCAACAAGGCATGTACAAGCTCTGGGCCGACAAAGATCGCAGCTGCATCCAGATGTCCGAGTGCATGGCGGATGTATATGTATGCTCCACCGACATAGTTGAGGACGACCTCGGCTATGACTCTGTGGGCACTAGCCACCGAGGCCACCCTAAACCACAGCCCAAGCCCCAAGACATCCTGAGCCCACAGCCCCCAAACCCTAAAGCGAACTTCAGATGATTACGATCATTGCTCTAATTCTATTTTATTGCTATAGTCACTGTTGTCACTATTTCTACTGCTACTGTCATTCATACTAACTGCTCTTGCTATTCTTCTATGTTTAATATTTATTACTTACGACTAGAAGAGTGAGCCGAGGTGCTCCCATGCCGACGCGTCCTTTCGAGCTGAAGCGCGGTCCCAGCTCCTGCGAGAATGAAGATTACCAAACAAGAAACAAGGCAGGATCTGCGTTTGAGGTTTAGGGGTTACGGTTTAGGTTATAGGGTGTTTGGCGTAGTCTGAAGATGCTGATCACGAGCGTAGCCATCATCGTTCCGCCTGCGACATCCTGGACAACATCACGGTGGTCGTCAGCGACATCATCATCTTCGTGCCTGCGATCAGAATCATCATGATCACCATACCCATTGTATCCATCTGCACGATCAGCCTCTATATCATCACAACCATCGTCCCCATCGTTAGCATGAGCATGGCGACACGGTATCTTTGCGATTTGTGATCATCACCGCCGCGAGCAATCAGGGCGCACTTCTGACTCTCACTCTCTGCATCTTCATCATAGCTGCCGTCGGGACCCTCGACAAGAGCATCATCAACGAAATCTTCAAACAATCGTGACGAATATGCTCATAGCAACCGCGGTCATCAAAACCATGACCCTTGACATCAACATCATTGTCTTCATCTTGACTATCACGATTACCATCATCGTAGTCGTCACACTCTTCTGTGCAATCGTCATGACCGACACCGCTAAAATCATCGTGGCCATCCCCGGTGCGCCAGGCGGGGCGTCCATCTCGAGCAGCTCCAGAATCGCTTCGCGGAAGATGTCCACACGCGGAGCTGTGACTTCCTCGGCAATCTACAATCTCCGCAGGCGCCCAGTGATTCCCACAGCTTCTTGGCACAGAAATAGAGATCTAACAGGTGCAGGGCACTTCTGAAGCCAGCTGAAGGCCCAAGCAGTTGGATTTGCACACTGAGGCGAGAGCCAGGTCGAGATGCTGGAAGCCGAGCGTCTCTACCTGCCCAACTTCTTTCTCCCTGGACCCCCTCTGTGCAACACCATCATCCGTCGCAGTCTCTAGTTGGACTCGCAACTAGACGTAACTAGACCTATAGGTTTCCATGAAGCCAAAGCCTGCATCTTCAGCTGCTGCGGATTGTCGCAGACAGAAATGATGGCGTTGATTCCTGAGCATCGCGATCTTTTGCAAAGGAGACAAGAACTCAAGAATACTCAGACAAAGGGTCGTGCCACACAAAAGATATAAACTGATCTCAATTAGCATGACATGGTAGCGAAAGTAAGCTATAAGTGTGAGACCTAAGCCGGCCGTGGAAGCTGAGGGTAGCTTCAGCTTCACCTCTTTGGTCTAAAGTGTTTCAGCTTTACCATTTTCGGGTTTAGGGTTAATCGTCGGTACTATAGTGAACTTCGTCCATATGCTTCCTAAGCTATAGAACCGTAATCACCAAAACCATAGGCCGCAAACCGACATCCCCTCAAAGATACGAAAGCCCGACAACCTGGAAAACGTTAAGACCCTGAGACCCGAAGCCCAAACAGACTAAAACTCTAAAAGCCCCGCAGCAATCGTCATTTCTCTGGGCCGCCGGCCATTCATGAAGCGCAATGCCATGACCGACCTGCATGCACTATCACCGTAATATTGCTTGCAATATTGTCAATGTTCTTACCACTATACTTAATGTTGTACCGGGCTTATTTAGGTGGCTCCATAATGCGCTATTTTGTAGGCTACTTGGGAGCTTGACAATTTCTGTGATCGTCCTCTATAGTACGCCCGGCAGTTTTGTTTTGTTGTTGTCTTTCTGCAAATGGGTTAATAGTCAATCTTCACTGAGTAGAGGATAAGAGGAGGAGACTTAATCTTAAAGTTGTCTTAAGGGGGCAGTAGTATTTTCTACGGACTTTGAGGCTGGGTTCTGAAGGGGCTGCAGTGCCCCAGCCTTTTCTGAGGGGTTTGACGGGCCTCAGGCAGAGGCTGTCGAAGGGTTTAGGAGGGCTTAGGCTCGGGTTCCGGGTGGCATCCATCTGAGGTTTCGGGTTTGCAAATCAGGGCGGCAACCTGAATGTTCTGGCAGCCGCCATTTCTGTACTACTGCTGTGCTGCTGTACTTATGTACCAGCGCAATATTCCATTTTTGCCTAGTTAGTGTACTACTGTACTAGTACAGTACTGCACTCGTTTACCTATGTACTACTACGCGGGTGTCTGGGGAGCACTGGGTCTGCATTTGTTCAAAACTGAGTTTTTGGTGCACATACTGTGTAGCTAGGGCTTTAGGGAGGGCTTGGGGCTGTGGGGTCTGGGGCAGGCGCAGCCGGAGGGGTAGGGTTTAGAGCAAGTCAAGGATAGGCGCTACAAATGTCCATTATAGTGTATTACAGTATATTAGTATGATATAGTGTAATATCGTATAATATAATATACTATAGTATACTATGGTATAAAATAATCATAGCATATCATCGTATCTTGTATTATAGAGTGGCAGAAGAACTGCCCTTTCAGACACGTGATGGCCAAACCACCCTGTTGCATAGGGCTGTGGGATTTTTGGCCTTGGCATGTTGAGGGCGTAGGGCCTTCTGCGAAGGAACCCAAATGCAGGGACGGACTCGCCAAGTGGTTCCACACGGCTCCTCGAGCCTAAAGCGCTATGTACGCCCCGTACCCAGGTAACCAATACCCTTAAACACCCTAAACTCCTAAACCTTAATCACCTACACTCAGTACCTCGCAACCTGTCCTCAAGCCTTATAGTGGCAAAGGTCGGCTCTGAGTTTTAGGATTCACCAGCCAGGAGCCTCAGGGTTCTTGGGTGACTTTTGCTGCGCCTTTGGGAACGAAGGAAACCAAGATCAGTCCAAGCTATGCAACAGGCATACAAGGACTGCAGGGACTAACATGATAGCAGACCTTGCCTAAGATGTTGTATCGTTTTGGGAAAGTTTCCCTTTGCTCGAACGCTTCAGACAACAGCCTTGGACTGCATATGAGTTTTAAACCCTACCACCCTAAACCCTAATACCCTAAACCCTAAACCCTATAAACCCTAAACTCTAAACATCTCCAGAAGTGAACGCGGGCACCCGCCTCGCGGTCTTGAAGAGGCTCTGAAGGCTGGGCGCGGCATCGAAGAGGGCCGCATAGATGGCTTCACCTGCCACCATGGCTTGAAGATATGCCATGGGAAGGCCGACGACGACGTCAAGGATGAGGAGGAGGGATCGTGAGGGATGTGGTGACGACTACATCACTGTTATACCACTGTCATCGTCATCACCAGCAGCATCATCATTAATGGCTCTGACCAGCACTAATTGAGAATGGAGAAGAGTCCAAGACTGGCATCACGTGTTTGTTCGGGCATCTAGCTAGCTGCGAACGCGGTTACTACATCCCAAGTGTCGTGCAAAGGCTTGCGCTTTGCCGACCATATCATCCACTGTCTTTTCAGACTGTCGCTGTTGTTGTCTCTTCTTCCTGCACCTGCCAGCCATGTCATCTATAGTGCTACCACCACCGCCACCGCCTCCACCACATTACTCCTGCTGTAACTGCTGCTACTGCTTCTAGATCTGTCATTGACATTCCTCGGGAACTTGCGATCTTAGAATGATAATACTAAACAATAGTTACTATACTATATGCATATATATTCAAAAAATATATATATA